TTTGAGGAGCTCTGGCTCGGTGAGACCCCGTTCTCCGCCCGGAAGAAGTTTCAGACGCGGGTGGAGATGATGTATTTTGTTTGCCTGGAGGGGGTGCTTCGCGCGGCGGAGCGCGCGTGGGAAGAGGAAGGGGAGGAAGCCAAAGAAAAAGAAGAGGGAGGGGGAGGGGGAGGGGGAAGGGATGCCCACCTCGATGCGCAGGCCGCCCTGCTCGGCTACGTCGCCCTGTGGTGTGGGTTCTTCGAGAATCTCCCGCAGGACCTCGCCGCGGCCCACCGCCGGGTGAATAACACGTCTTTATCGCCCAGCTGCCTCAGTCGTGCGTGCTCGGAATCGACGCAGACGCCGATGCGCTCCCCGCGAAGTGGGGATCGTAACCCGTTATCCACCATAGAGACGTCGATGCCCTCACAGGTGGCGCCCTCGAGCTCCAGCGCCGCCACCCCCTACTCCGTCGCCGAGGGCAAACCCACCACCGACTCTTACGCTCGCGGCAATGGCGGCATCGGCGCGACGCTGGATACGTCGATACTTGAGGAGGACGTGGTGTTCAAGGCAACGGTTGAAAACCTCTGTGAGGCGCTACGGAAACGGTTGCAGCATGGCAAGCCCCCCTTGCCAGCGCTGTACGAGCTCATCTACCCCGACCCCGCGGACGGGGAGTCCGGCAGCCGCGTGAAGAAGGATGCCTCGGGGTACGCTGAGGAGTCGCTTTCCTCAAGCTCCTTAAATGACGGGTTCAATTCCGCTCAGAGAATGTTTGCAGCTTCGGCCGCGAGGCTGGATGACGAAACCAAGCTCAAATTTTATGCCCTATATAAGCAGGCCACGGTGGGGAATATTAATATTGCTAAGCCATGGTTAATGGACCTCGTGGGGCGCGCCAAGTGGGAGGCGTGGAATAAGCTCAAGGGGACCGATCTGGATGATGCAAAACGGATGTATATAAATGAGTATAAGCGAGTAAAGGAGATGCAGGGTGGACAATGAAAGAGTAAAAAACGTGCTCTTTCCATCTGTGTAGTAAAATACAAAATCGAATAAAGTCTCTTCTCTTCATGTGCACCCTATCTTGAAGTTCTGCGGGGGGCCCCATGTTATTCCCCCTGGGGGACGCGAGCCCTCTTGAAGAGTGGTGTGGCTATGATAGGCGGCAGGTTCACATCATCACGGAGCATCCAGTCAAGTAGTAAACGGTGGTCATGAGAGGGATGCCCAGCTAGAGTTTCGCCTGATCACGTCCGCTACCTTTCACCAGTCCTAGCGTAACCAGAGCTTTGCAGTTTAAACGCATGGAGAGAGGGTGGCAAATTACCATCACGAATAACGGCACGACGCACACACCCAGTATCGCTGCGATGTACATAACCCCAAGGCGAGGTTCTGGGGCGTGTAGACACGATTTTTCTTCACAGAGTCTTGGTGTGTGCGCATATGTGATTTCATTTATGTTCACAAAAGTAGTTCCCCATATATATATATATGTGTTTGCATATGTATTAATTCGCACTATATATATATATCTATAAAATTGCCACATTATGTGGTGCTGCGCATTTAACATTTTTTCCCTCGTCTTATGCATTGCATCGGCACGATTATCGTAATACTAGTCTCTCAAGATCCAATGCGATCTATACAACATAAAGTAAACCTGTAGAAGGAAGCTTTCCCTCTTACCCCACCCCTCCTCTCCACAATACGGTTTCTTCGAAACGAAGCGCAGGAGTCCCTAATTTTCTGAAAAGTCTGTAGTACACCGTTTTTTTAGTCTATCCTGAATAGACTTTAGGAACGTGCTATGTATTCTTTTTGCGAGCATATATATTTCACTTGGAAAAACTAAACAAGCATTTAGCGGAGCAGTAGTATTATTTGGATTTGTTGAATGTCATGCCAGTGGCATGGCATCGTTGTTTAGGCTTCCCGAGCTATTAGTGGTAAATTGAAAGCAATGGAGTGAAATAGGGTATCCTAATATTTGCATCCCCTATCGATCTTTTTTATCTAATCATTCGATTCTCTTCGGTAGCTCATATCCACCATAGGACACATATTAGAGGTACTTTTCCTTCTATCTTAATTCATCACCCAAACACACACAAAAAATTTACTATTATCAAACAGCAGGACAGCTTTAAAGATACAACTGCATCTATTGATATATATATATATATATATATATATATTTATTTATTTATATACCTTCGTATCCGAAGGAGCACACGTACACACCCGCACACAAAGGGTAATCTCAAACAGTTCCTTACCCCAACATACCGTGGGCAGTTTTTGACTAGTGCAGACGGACTTTTGCTCGCGCCATGGATCGGAACCCAAAGCAACCGAAAACGTGGCCGACCAAGCAACTTCTGCTTTACTGTACTCAAAACGACATCCCAGTCCTGCGAGGGATGGAGAAGGATGATCTGATTCAAATCGTCAACGCACACCTCAAGAGTCGCCGTTCACGCGATCAGGCGAGGGCGGCCATGAAGCCGAAAGAGGAGCGTGTGGATGATCTACTGAACACCTCGCCCGAGGTCCTGTTGAGGCATGCCCCTTATGCCTCCTACACGGATACCCTACGCAAAAACCCGCACAAACTGCGGGAACTCATCGAGGCCGGGGTTCAACAGCTCGCCTCCGTGGAGTTCGTTCACGAGCTCTTCGAGGCAGGCCTGCCACCACCGGTGGTGGGGTGGCTGCGCGGCGTCGTGGAAGGGGACGATGGCGGGGCGGCCCTCCGTGAGGTGTTGACCCCCCCGCCCACCACCGCGGTTTGCGGGCGGTATTTTCGCGACCATGAAATGGTCGCACACTGCCGGGATTGCGCGGTGGATTCGACCTGTGTGATGTGCATGGATTGCTTCCTCGACTCGCCTTGTCGGTCGCACAACTACACCCTCCACGCCGGGAGCGTCGGGGGGATGTGCGACTGCGGCGACGCCGCGGCCTGGAAGGCGCGGAATTTCTGCCCGAAACACCTCGGCTTTGGCGGCGGGGGGTGGGTCCCTGCCCCCCATGAGCCCTGGTGGGAAGGGGTGCTATGGGGCCTCCTTCAGCTCAGCGTGGCAGGCCTACAGCAGTTAATGGCGATGATGATAGGAGGGGGGAGAGAAGGAGGCTCGCCGAGGCCGGGGTGGGACCCCTTCAACCGCACGGAAAGGCCGGAGGAGGAGACGCACGAGATAACGACAGAGGGGTTCGACTCCTCCGCGAGCAGCGACGAGGAGGACGAAGGAGAGGGAAGGGGAGTAGCGGGCGAGCAAGCCTCCGAGGCGGCGCGTTGGGTGTGGGGTTGGCTAGGGCCCCTCGCGGGGCAGCTGAAGGAGCTCAGCGGCTGCGACTGGGCGAGGCGACTTCTCTCGACGCTCTGGGCGGAGCCCACGATGATCGCCTCCGCCCACCTCTCCGCCGGCGCCGTGGAGGATCGGAACGCCTCCTGCCTGGAGATGGTTTTTTTCTTCCAGCTCAACGCCGACGCGAAGGATCGGCGGAGCGAGGCGTGGTCGTCCTTGGTCCGGAGTATCGCCAAGTGCCTCTCCGATCCCACCTTCCGTGTTCCCTTTGCCGCCCTCTTCATGACCTACGCGGAGCGGCTGCAATGCAAGAAATACCATCTTAATAATCTCTTCGTGCAGGTCTTCAGCTGCCCGGTTACCCTTTCCACCCTCACGCGTTCGCTGGAGCTGATGCCATACGCGCCGCCGCACTTCGACTCCATCGTGCATCGTCAGCTCTCCGCTATCATCTACTGTTTCTGCCAAATTCCGAGTAGTTCGAGCAGCGCGTTGGGGTGGCGTTGGGTGTGGGATGGAGGCCCGTCATGGGTGATCTTCGTGAACGAGCGCAGCAACCGCACGAGTGTCTCCTGCACCACCGCGTTGTATCACTTAATCAATCGAAACGACGATATGTCTCGGGTAGCCGTCCTTTCGCGGACTTTTATTCGTGCGTGGCTGCATCAGTTGGTGCTGCTCTCCATTAACGCCGTGATCCGGAAGGACCCGATGAGCTTCACGGATATGCACTCCATCACGGAGTGGATAAGCTTGCTCCTCGTCAAGACGATGTGGGCGATGATGGTTGGGGTCGACACTCTCCTGTCGTCGATTCAACCACCACCGCAGGAACTCTTGACGAGCACGACTGCTCCTAACGAAATGGTGCCGATCGTGAGCGATGTCGCGTGGCGGCTGATTAACGGATCGCGCCGGTTCGACCCTATTCCAGATCGGGCTGCGCAGTGCAAAAATCACCGCTGTATCCTGCAGCGAGCCGCGCTGGAGGACGGCGAGGAGGCCTCCCTGCTGTCTGCTTTGCCGTCTTCGCCGGATGAGGCCCCCACGGTCGCGTTAAGCTACATCGTTGCCCTGCTTCAAGAAGTCAAGATGGTTCTTGATGTCTTTCTTCTTGCCCAACGCGACTACTTCCGTGGAGGAAGAAGAAAGGTGGTATTACAGCGTGAGGTCTGTTCGATCCTTGCGTATGACCTGTTGGAACCTGTAGGGGATATGATGACGCTGGTCTTGCCGGTGCAACGCTTTATGGCGATGCTGATTCGATCGTGGCTTACTCATCAGCAAGCTTTATATGCCAAGGAAAGTATCACCGATTCGGTTGCCTTGTTGGTCGCACGACGCTTATACGGGTGTGATAACCGCCAAGGATGGAGGCCCTTGCGCACATTGATGGATAAGCTGCTCTCTTCGACAACACAAGCGTCGTCATCGGCGCAGGGCTCCTCGCTGGAGTTCCTTGGCGAGCTCCTGGATTCCCTGGTGATGCCGTTTGTGCTTATATCCCAGAGAGAGGAGGGGCTGTGGCGTCGCAACGACTGCAACGCCCTCGCACGCATTCAAAGGTACTTAGAGTTGCCCTCAAATTATACAATTTTGAATGATATCTATCTCATTCAAGTTTTGGCGACTTGTTTACCACCGCAGGAATTATCAATTCATCTACTGCAACGCTTTTCCTACGGCCACAACGGCGGCGGAAATCCCTCCCAGAAGGAGGAGGTGGACGAGAAAACATCGCCGAAGAATGAAGACCTAGGCGTGGGAGGGTTGGCTGGATACCTGCGGCTGATGATCACCCTAATTCAGGACTCGAGCAAGGCGAATAACATCGACAGAGATTCAACGCAGGAGCTCCGCCGCCTGATTGCGCTCCAACTCTCGAAGGATCGCTTGGCGCACTCAAGGCTCGTGAGTTACGCCGGCGAGAGCTTCTTCGGGCGCTTCCCCGATAACTCGAATTCCCTAATGAAATGCCTTTCCCAGGCCATGGGCGAGATCGTGGTCTCCGAGGATGGGCCCTCCGGGAAGATCTTTCGCTTGAAAGACCTCCGAACGTGGGAGCGGTGGGTGAGCCTTTATCACCCGATGTGTCGGGATGCCGACCTCCCGTCTATGGTTTCCCAGTATCGACGGATCGCGTCCGTCGAAAAGGCCCTTCGCAGCAAATCGGCCTGCGAGGAGGAGGGGGAGAGAGAAGGGCGAACCACCCACGACGCCTCACCTCAAGCGAGTCTGCCTCCATCGCGGCTTCGTGAGGATGAGCAAGATGCGGAGTTGATCCCCAGCCTTCGCGCGCTCCTTCACACGGATGGGTTGCTTCTCCCGGCCTGCTACGTTGTCCAGTTGTACGTCTTCAACCTACGCCACCCCGACGAGGCGGATCCGGGGTTGCCCGGGGAAATCGACCCCGACGAAGGCGAAAGACCCCATATCGGGGAGCATTTACTCCTCCACGCCATCACTGTTCTCTACCTTTGTGTGGGGGATTGCGCGGTGCTTTCACGCGCCCTTCGCGCCGAGGCGGGTGTGGACGACGGCCCCGATGCCGTCGCCGTCGAGGAAGAAAGAAGACGGGAGGAAGGGGGGGGTTGTCATGAGGCCTCTCCTTTTCCCTACGGTTCGGATCCGCTTATGAGGTCCGATTCGGATTCGGATGGGATTGCCTGGGAGTACGTCGAGGCCTACCTCGCGCGCACCCTCGCCGCCACCCCGACCGCCTTCACGGCGGAATCGATTCACCGATACGTCCGGCTGCCGGAGCTGACAGGGGCGCCGTCGATTCGCGTGAAATTGGCGACGCCGGTTCCGCCGCATCGCCTTCGCCGGACGCCCGGGGTTGACGGGGCGGGGCGGATGGGGAGGGATGGGATCCCAACGGCGGACGCCCTGCATGAGCTTCGCGAACACCTGCGGAAAACCCCCCAGCTCGACGAGTTCGGCCTTCTAACGATGGTGGAGTCGATCCTGCTCGCGACCGGGCTCGCCCGATTCCCGCCGCCCAGGGGTCCATCCCCCGGCGACGCCGATCCCCCGGTGAAGAGCCGGCAGCAGCAGGTGAAGGAGCGGCAGGAGAAGCTCCTCCGACGGCTGCAAAACCGCAGCTCAAAGGTGTGCGTGACGATGGGATTGGAGGGCGAGGCCGCGGTTCAAGAGGGGCGAAGGGGCGACGCGGCGGAAGCGTCTCCGCCCCCGATTCTCGCGCCCACCCCCGCGAGCGGCGGCTACCTGCACAGCAAACTCCTCGTCGAATCGGCGACGCTGGAGTGCTGCGTTTGTCGCCTCACCCACCACGAGCCAGTGCTGCTGCTCGGGCTCTGCTCCACGTCGGGAGTGCTGCGGCATCTGCGCTCCGCCGTGCTGCCTGACCGGCGGCAGGTCCACGGCCACTACTACACCTGCGGCCACGCCATCCACAAATCTTGCACGAATCGAATTTTCCGACGGCTCGCGCAGCTCTGGCAGAGAGGCCACTTCCAAGGACAGAATTTTCTGGGCGCGTCCGAATTCAGCTGCCCTATTTGTTTGATGGTGTGCACGAATCTGAGCCCTCTGCCCGTGTTTAGCGGTAGCCCAGGGAGGGAGGGCGCGCAGGACGAGCGCACACTTTTTGAGGATATCCAAAGGAGCACCGTCAGTCTTAATGAACCTGAAATGCTGTCGGCTGTGGGAGACCTACACACGTCGCTCGCGCAGGCGGCGATCGGCGCCTCCACCGCTATGGATGCGAAGCCAATCGAGACCTACGAGGATCCGCTTCAGAGGTGCCAAAACGACGCGTGGATATTGTCGGAAACACTGCGTACCATCTACTACAGCTTTCGCATCACACTGGAAACGATCAAAGCAGGGGTGCATGAGCTGAATCAAAAGGATCTTCTTACCTTCCTCTCTTTGCTTATTTCGATCCCTTCGCAGTCTCTGGCGAAGCACTACACGGCGCTGCAGACAAATTACTCCCGTACCGGGCATGATGCGTTCTGTTTGCTGATTCTGGAAGTACTGAAAGCACCAAAGGAGGCATCGAGTAGGATTCAGAAGTACACAGAGAATTTTATTGCGACCCATCCCCAAGCTAGAGAGATCGCGCGAAACATCCTGCGTACCCCAGCGCGCGACGGCGCCGAAGTAGGCGGCATCGCCGACGAGGAAAACACCCACAACAGCTCCGCTCAGCCTCCCGCGCATGATCCTGTGGTACTATGGATGGACCTGGGGTGCTTGGTGCTGCTCAAGTTGATGGTGTGCGATGAACCCGCGGGCGCTGTGCTCGACGCGCGAGAGGAGAACGCTTTCTCCATCCCCCCTATGCACACGCGGGCCCTGGAAACTATGGCGGACCGCGGTGAGGCGATTCTTCGCATGTGGTGGTATCTAACGCGCGTCGATTTGGGTTCGGATCGTAACCCGATCCCGGCGGCCGCCGCGCGGTTTGCCGCCGCCACGATCGCTAACGCCGACGAACCGTTCTCGAACGAGTGGGCGCCCGCGCGATTTGTGAACCCCGGGCAGTGGAGGGAGCACCTGTTAGACGAGGTTCTTCATCTCCCGATCGACTACATCGACCTGGTCGTGCGGCATAACCACATTGTACGCACCGAGGGCAATGAGGACAGAAATCGGGAACAGAACATCTTGTTTTGCTGCCTTTGCGGAAAGTTCTTGTGTATCGAACACCGGGGTAAGTTTGTTGAACCGTTTTGTCACGCAAGAGAGTGTGTGGGAGGCGTTGGTGTGTTCTTGATCTTGCATTACAGCTCGCTTCTTATACTGGATGCCGTCGCCGGTCGCTTAGCTGAATACAACTCTATCTATACGGATAAGTTTGGAGAAGTTGACAAGGGACTGCGGCGCGGCGTGCATCTTACACGAAATGCGGAGTTATGTAAACGGTTTCTGAAGCTATGGATTCGGAATGAGTGGAGCGCCCACTCGATGATTTTACGCAACAGTAGGCGCATTACCAACATGCTGTCTTAAAAAGTCTGCTAAAAGGCGACTCCATTCCGCTACCCACAGCAGTGGTGGGCTTTTGCATGGAGCTAGTGACGATGCAATCAAAGGTAAGCGACGAATTCCATAAAGTGATACTCTCCTTGATATTTTGTTGAGATCTTTAGGTGGAGTCAGTCGAGGCAATGTTCTAATTGCCGACAACCGATGCGCATCATTTGCCAGTACTCGTAGTATCATTCTCTAGGGAAGGGACACTAAAAGTTAGTGATGTGGAATTCCCTTCGTGGGTTAAACTACTACTGATAAGCGGCAGACCTGGGGAAAACTCCCTGTAGACGTTTGTCTCCCCTTCCCTACGCAGGGGTCGGTGTTTTCTGAAAGTTTTTTTATGCTGTAGGCTTAATAACGAATTAAGGGTGGGGTTAGGAAACTGTTTATTCCGAAACGCCAACTTAATTTTGAGAGTAAAAAATTAAGCATTATATTTCAAATTGCTGAATAGTCCCGAATAGGTCTATTTATATGTGGTTATGATATCCTTTAGCATAGTTTTTTACCCTTCTTTTCTTTTGAACAAAGCAAACCTCTGACTACACCACACGCAGATCCCGACTACATTGCTAATTGCTGAGGGCTGCGTGCACGTGTTGGGCCACCTTTCCCCCGTTGTTTCAGTTCCCCCTATTTATTAAGAGTATCATTTTGAAAGGTACATTAAGGATATAAACTAATTGGTGGAGGGACAAGAACTAGGGGGCTCATGCTTACGGACGACGCGCTTGACACGCACTTCACCTTCGAGGACGCCCTCCCGCAGGAGCCGCCGCGGAAGGAGAAGCGGCTTGAGATCTGTCAGGACTATCAAAAAGGCCGGTGCCGCCTAGGGGATTCCTGCCCACAGCGCCACATCCTTTCCGACTACCGCACCGTGCAAACCCGGGTGTGCAAGCATTGGCTCCGCGGCGCGTGCGTCAATGGCGAGAACTGCCTCTACCTTCACGAGTACGAAAACCGCTTCGTCCCACTCTGTGCCTTCTACGAGCGGCTTGGCGAGTGCACGAACCCGGAGTGTCCTTTTGTGCACGCACAGCCGCAGGAGAAGCTGCCGGAGTGCGCCGCGTACCGCCGTGGCTTCTGTCCGCTCGGGCCGGCGTGTAAGCTCCGCCACGTCGAGCGCCGGGCGTGTGCGTTTTACCTGGCGGGGTTCTGTCCCCTCGGCCCACGGTGTCCACTCGGGCATCCGATCCAAGAGCTTCACGACCGCGTCTCGGTGTTCAACCGGATCCTTGACCGCATGATCGTTCAGCGCGCCGACGACCCCAGCTTCAACCGCACTGCCACTTGCTACCGCCCGGGATGCTTTGATCCTGGGCACCTCGCGCCGAACTGTCCAGGGCCGCAGCACAGCGTCCTGCATCGGCACCTCAATCAGCTCCAGGAGCCCGGGCAACGAGTGAGCGCGATGGAGGGCGAGGTCCGTGGCGGCCCCCGGCGCTGCTACCTCTGTGGGCAGGAGGGGCACCAGGTCAAGGACTGTCCGATGAACACGAGAACGCATCGTGGACGAAAGTTCCGCGGCGCGCGCCGATGAGAAGCTAGACTCCTTTGGGGGTATCCCTTCATCACTATAGTGAGTGTTAATATATACATATCGATATATGCTTACTCACTTTTATTGTCTTTGGATGAGTTTTCGTTTTTGGTGGTGCCCCAGATGAATGATTCTTTATTCGTTTTTCCCGGCGGGACAGTATATTTGGGTACCCCGTTCCGACATACATATATATCCAAACACTTTTTTCACTTTTTGCTCCTTATATCCTCTTCATTATAGAGGCTCTTGTCTTTTTACGTATACATGGTGACGTGGGGTATCGCGTGATATATATATATATATATATATATATATATAACA